CCAGCCTTAGGGGCAACATGATTTTTAGGGATCATTTTTCTGTGAGAGGAAACAAATGGAGGTAGGACTGGGCAGAGGAAGAAATCCAATGGCCCTGCAAACCGGACTAATCTTGAATGGATCAGGTGGGGCCCTGGGGTGAATTTCACAGTTGAAATAGCTGGATTTCTATTTCTCTAGAAGTGGGCTGCCCCAGAAAGACATGCCTTCTGGTGATGTGCTTCCAATAGCTGAGGCAGACCTTGAAGGAGCCCCTGGCTGGTGGCTAACTGCTGTTCATCCTCGTCTGCCACAGTCTGACAATGCAGAGAATTAGAACGAAGAGTACGGCAGGCTGAAAATGCTCACCCCAGTGGGTACAGTGGCACATACCTGTAATTCCAGGAGCTGGGGTGGCTGAAGCAGGAGGATCTTAAGTTCAAACCAGCCTCAGCAACTCAGCAATGTAAAATAAAAAGGACTCAGTGGTTAAGCACCCCTGGATTCAAGCCCTATACCAAAAACAAAACAAAACAAAACAAAACAAAAAACCCACTAAATATCCACAACAAATCCCTGGAACCTGTGAGGTGATCTTATTTGGAAAAAGGGTCTTTGCAGATGTGATTATGTGAAGAATTATGCAATGAGATGATCCTGGATCCTCCGGGTGGGCCCTAAATGCCATCCCAAGTATCCTCATAAGAGAACAGCAGAGGGAGTTGTGCTGGACATGAAAGTGGACAAGGTGATGTGAAGACAGAGGTGGCAAAGACCCAAGCAGTGTGGACACATGCCAAGCTTGCTACTGTCACCAGCAGCTAGAGCAGACAACCAGCAGATCTCCTTGGAGTTTCTACAGGGTCCAAGGCCCTGGAAACAAATTGGTCTTGGCCCAGGAAAACTAATATTAGACTTCTGACTACCTTTAAAGAATCAGTTTCTGAGGTTTTACACCATTGAGTTTGGGGTGATCTGTTATGGCAGCCACAGGATACTAATACAAAGAGTAATAGGCAAATCGTTAGTGTGCCGAGTTAGAGGATTCGACTCAGGGGCGGCTTCAAGGATCACAGTTTACTCACACAGGCACATGAGCTGCTCAGACCCCCATTCCTTCCCCCAAAGCAAGAAGGCCTTCCCCAGTGGCAGCCTCGCTTCCCAGAACAGAACAGAATGCAGCTGTGCCCACCCTGCCCCACCTCTCAATGCTCTTGGGGTAGCCCACCCGAGACTCATCTTTGTCCTTGATCTACTTGTCACCCTGACCAGGCTGGCCCCTGCAGGATCTCCAGTCTCTTGGCCAGAGAAGGGGAACACAATGACAGCTCCCCCCTTCTCTCTGATTTGGGAAAGAAATATCCCTGGAACCTACAACTACTCCCTTTGCAAAAATCAGTAAAATGGGAAGAATATATATGATCTGAAGGGACCCTGCAGCTGTATGCCCAATAGGATACAAAGGTCCTTGGCACTCTTATGTGAATTTAACTTGCTTTATTCAGCAAGAACACACTTCTGGAAATGTGTACACTGTACATTTGTATATGCTGTGTAACCCTTGAACCTAGTTTTAGAAGGTGTGCTTAAAGGTACAGTACTTTAGACAACAATAAAGTAGGCTGAACAGAGGGAGTTGGATTAATAGTGCCCAGCCCTGATCTCAAAGTCCTCTCTCTACCCTGCTCCTCCTAGAATAAACCCCCTGAAGACCAAGGGTTGGGCCAGGCTGGTCCCTCCCGGGAGGATGGGCTAGAGGCTCCTCAGTCTGCACCTGGTCCCTGTGGCACTCAAGGAGGGCAGGCCATATGATGGGCCTGACACCGCAGCTCTCATTCGGATCCTTCTCCACTGTAGAATGAGAGAACAAGGTTTTGTTCCCCTGGGTCTCAGGCACCAGAAAGGCCTAGATTTCAGAAGCATCTCCAGGACAAGCCCTTTTCTGTATCAATAAGAAATGGGGACCCGACCCTGGGTTACTGCCCCCAAATTGAAGTGCATTCCACCCTCCTCCTGGCCTCTCCAGACACCTGAGCTGGGATGAGTTTTTGGCTTCTTTGATGTCTTTTAAACCAGACATCCACTGTCTTTGGACTTTTAGAGAATGAGGGGTCTTGGAAGCTATGGGCACCTTCCTGGACAACTGTGTGTTCTTTGCACTAGAGGCAGGGGGACCTTGGAAAATAATATCCCCTAATTTACATCACCCTCCAGGAGACTATAACATAAGAGAAGCCAGCTGTAGCTGGAACCAGAAGAAGTCTTTAAATGGGCTTTCTCTCTCATTTATTTTTCCTAGGGAGTATAAGATAAAGCAAGTGGCTATATGAAGAGTTTTGTTTTGTTCATTCGTTTTTTGGTACAGACAATGCTACATTGGTGTTTAAAGTTGGCCTTAAATACCTACTATATGTCAGGTCTGTATCAGTAATAGATCATTCTGGGTTTAAGGAGCTAATTTTTTTGGGGGGGGGTACTGGGGATTGAACCAGGGGTGCTTTACCACATCCTCAGTTCCATTTTTCTTTTTCCAGACAAGTTTTAGGTTCTTGCTAAGTTGCTGAGGCTAGTCTTGGATTTGAGATCCTCCTCTCTCAGCCTCCCAGTTTGCTGGGATTACAAGTGTATGCTACTACACTTGGCCTGGGAGCTAAAATTCTATAAGTGAGGCCAACACATGAATAAATCATTGTTTTTTTTTTTTTGTGTGTGTGTGTATAATCAATTATGGTATATAACATGTCAAGTAAAAGTATATGAACAAAGCCAGGAGTGTGGAGCACGCCTATAATCCCAGCGGCTCCATGAGGCTGAGGCAGGAGGTTTGCAAGTTCAAAGCCAGTCTCAGCAAAAGCGAGGTGCTAAGCAATTCAATGAGACCCTGTCTCTAAATAAAATACAAAATAGGGCTAGGGATGTGGCTCAGTGGCTGAGTGCCCCTGAGTTCAATCCCTGGTACTCCCCCAAAACAAAACAAAACAAAAACCCAAAAGTATATGAACAATCGGGCTGGGGATGTGGCTCAAGCGGTAGCGCGCTCGCCTGGCATGCGTGCAGCCCGGGTTCGATCCTCAGCACCACATACAAACAAAGATGTTGTGCCCGCCGATAACTAAAAAATAAATATTAAAAGTTAAAAAAAAAAGTTTAAAAAAGTATATGAACAAGCTCTAGGGGGCACAAAAAAATTCCTGGTAGTGTAGGAGGTGTAATAATTAATTCAGGTTTTGGGTTGCACAGGTGAGTGGGGAGGCAATTCCTAGCCCAAAACAAAGCAAGCACTCTGTTTTTCTGGGGATACCAGGGATTGAACTCAGGGGCACTTGACCACTGAGCCACATCCCCAGCCCTTTTTTGTATTTTATTTAGAGACAGGGTCTCACTGAGTTGCTTAGCATCTCACCATTGCTGAGGCTGGCTTTGAACTCATGATCCTCCTACCTCAGCCTCCCAAACTGCTGGGATTATAGGCATGTGCCACTGCACCCAGCTCACAGCAAGTACTCTTAATCTCACCCTCCTTAACCCAGTGTTGAGGGAGATTTAGGAAGGGTGGATTGGGCAGGAGGGCTGGAAAGCTATTGAGGCCCCCATCAGAATAAGTCAAGTCAAGGGGGTTCTGCTATGGGCCATGGGGAGCCTCTGAAGCCCTGTCCATCCAAAGACTAGGGTCAGGGAGCTATTTGGGATGGACAGGAATAGAAACCCCAGGTCATAAGAAGTTGAAACAAGTAAAAGCAGAGTTGGAGATAGTGAGACAGGTTTGAGATTTGCCTAGTTAAGATGTAAAATGTACTTTGGGGGGGAGCCAGGGATAGGGGGAGTTTTATGCCTTTTATCTTCTCAGTGCCTCACTCTGTGCCTGGCACACACAGCCAGTGCAAGAGGGAGTAGACTTGGGGTAGACTGGGCAGCTAAGCTGGGCAGCCCTGGACACAGGAAGCTGCAGGGTTGTTGGCTATGCCCCAGATGTTTCCCAGCAGAAAGAGAATGCGAATGCCAACAGGCCATCACAGGGTGGGTGCAAAACATTTTCCAAGGCCAGTTGTCTGGCTGAGACAGGTTTGTAGGATGCTGTGGGGCAGCGAATCAGTGAGGAGAGCACCGCTGTGTGCACACTCTGCCTCACCCCCACTGTGTGCTGGCATCTGTCTCCTTTCTTTAGCTCTCTCTGCCTCGCCAGGACCTCATCTCTCCCCTTTCCTGAAAGATTGCCCTCGGGTTTGCCAACTTTACAATCCCTGGGAAAGCCTTTCCAACAGACTGCAGGAAGCTTACGGGGAGTTGAGCCAAGTACCCGAGTTTGGGGTGGGAGGCCACCACAGTTCTCCTTGAGAGTCTGAGAAAAGTATAATCCAATGCAGAAAAGCCGGTGCCTCTCTGCCCACACCTGGAATTTTGCATATGAGTCCAAGGGACTGAAACCCAAGAGGAGGAGGGTGACGATGTTTGAGGTTATGGTGTCCTGGAGAATCTTGCCCCAGGGGCCTGTGCCCTCTTTTCCCTCCTAGGGAGATCTTAACAAGGGGCCCTTCAGGTCATATGGGAAGCACAGCCCCCAACCCAGCGCCCACGGAGGAGCTTTGGCTTTGGGTGGGGAGAGACAACCTGAGAACAGGTCTGCCAACCAGTTTAACCAGGGACTGGTTTCGACTAGGGGAGTTCAAAGTGAGCAGCGGCCTTTAACCCTTTCCCAGTAGTGCCCTGGGCGATGGAGAGGTGCTGGTCCATGCTGAAGAGGGGTCATAGTCTCTTTGGACCATGAAATGGTTGAGGGTGACCTTGGCCACAGCTGGCCAGTACAATCAGATACCCAAGAATGGGGAAACTGAGGAGAGAGACTCCCATGCTTCCTTACCCTGGACTTCCCTTGGGATTCCCTCCTCCAGGCTGGCGGTCCCAGGAGGACCCTGGCTTCTGGGTAGATGCAGGGTCTCTGGGATTGGGTTTCTGGGGGTGATGAATATTCATCAGCCTGAGCCAGCCTCTGCTTCTGTTTACTTAGCTGGGAGGGGCCGGGTTTCAGGTTCACCTTGACTCTGGGAGCTGCAGCGGAGCAGGTACCCGCTCCTGCACCTGTTTCTTTTGCACCTGACGTGCAGCTGCTCCTACCCACCTCTCCTGGCTGAGCCTGGCCTCTGCGGCACCCTGGAGGCATCCTCTCCTCCCCCAGCCTCACCCTCCCAGGGCAGCTCCTCCACTCAGCTCCTTCTCTAGGGAAGGTCTCGCCTCCAGTCCGGAGCAGTCAGAATTACAGGTACAAGCAGAGGGCCAGTGGGTGGGGAAATCAAGGCACAGTCCCTATTTGGGACTCCCAGTGCTGCCTCCATGGCTGACAAGCCCAGTAGGGAGGGGGAACCCAGGGGCTGTCTCCTTCCAATCTCATCCCACTGGCCCCTTGGAGTCAATCCAGGCCTCCAACAGAGGTCCTGCTGAGAAAGTCTTGCTCCCAAGCAGTTAGTTCTCTATTAACTCTAAACCCAAGCCCACTCCTGTTCCTCCCCCAGCCAGGACTACGTGTCTGGTTGTCTGGTAGGAGCACCTCACTTTTCCTATCCAGGGTACTCTAATTATCCAGAGTGGACAAGGGCCTTGAGGGACCCTTTTGAGGGTGGGGGAAAGGTTCTGGGTTTTCTCAATGCAGAAATTTGACTGACCCCCCTCCTCCCCTTATGCCCTTTCCCCAATCAATGGTTAACTTGTCTCAACTCAGAAGAGGCCATGCAAAGTCCTTCCGAGTAGTTCATTGAGCATACCTAGGGTGGTGGGGACTGTCCTGTGGCACCCATGTGCAGGGTGCTGGCCATCAAAGGTATACTGACCCATGAGGAGTTTTGTGGGCCCAAAGCTGTGCAAATAGCAGAGGTGGAATTGGCATCCTCAGGGGCTGATTTCCATCATCCACGGATTGCAGTGCCCCAGGGCAAGGGCCCAGCCCTCAGCATGGCCAGCTCAGGGCCCTGAACAAGCAGACTGCAGGGCTCGTGTTACCAAATGCTGCATTTATGGGAGTTCCTGTACCCTGTCCCTCAGCCTCAGAAAATTCCTGCTGGCCTTCTGGTGTCACCTGGGTTCTGTACCCTCCACCTGGGAGCTGTCACAGCCCACTCCTAGGTGTGCTGAGAACCGGATCACAACCCTCCCAAACCCAGGCCAGCGGGATCGGGCATGGACATATGGCTGGAGATATCTTGCTCTTTGCGATTTTGAGTATTTGGGAAGTTTGGCTATCATACCACCTTTGAAAACCATCAGATTTTACTGTCTTTTAAGGGCCACTACTTAAAGCTCACTGGGTTATTTTATAAAGCAAATAGTTCTCTTATTTCTCTTGTTTTGCAAATTCAGATTTCCATATGTTAGGCTTGCCTAAAGGGACAAACACCTGTTTACTTGTGCTCAGATGTCCTCCTGAACAGGAGGGACAGGAGGGCCTGGCAAAGAACATCCTAGGAAGACTAGGATACAAGTCCAGGAGACAAGGGCACCAATGACTTGGTGTCTTGGTGCAGGCCCTAAGGCAGGATATAGGCCATCCCTGTTTCTATGGCTTTTTGATTCTTTTTTTTTGTGAATTGTGGCATCCTTTACTCCAAGGAGTCAGGCTCTATGGATGCCAACTTGAAATATGGTACCTATTTAAATAGGTATTTTTAAATTTGTTGGAACAGGTATATTTTAGCTGGCACAGGCAGAGGCCCCTTGCATAGGTTTAGGAAATCGGTGTTAGAGGAGTTTCAGGCACTGGATCCCCTTTCCCTGCATTCTCAATTCTCTGGCAGCTCCACATGAGTGATGGTGTACCCACAAAGCAGCGACTGGGGCACCCACAGAGCAAGTGAGCACCCTGTTCCTCCTTCCCTCCCCTCCCCACAGCTCCTTCCAGAGGCCCATTCTGGAACACCAAGTTCTGTGCAAGGCTGTGCTAAGCCCAGGAGGGGCAAGCTGCCAAAGCAAACCTCTCAGGCCTGTCCCTTGGTGTACTCACCTCTCCAGGGCACCCTGGAAGTATTGTGCCCTAAGAGGAGCTGCCCAAGGTCTCTCCTTGGCGTCTCTTGCTATTTGAGCCCAGCTGAACGGGCAGAATGGGAAAAGTGGGGTGTGCTTTTTGGACAAAGAGGTGGGAAGGAGTTCCCACCAGCAGGTACCAGGGGAAGGGAGTATGGCTGTGGAGGAGTGGCAGCAACAAGGGCATTCCGCTTATGCCCAGGCCAGGTCCTGCTTTCATTTTTCCTGAATTTGATATGTTTCTCCCTCTAAAAATATCTGTACTCCATGGAAATTCTGGAAATGAGAAAACCAGAGGGGAGAAAGCAGTCTCTATTCCTTTTATATAAAGAAAACCACTAACAATCATTTGTAATATTTCTTTTTTTTTAATTTTGTTTTTTAGTTGTAGATGGACACAATATCTTTATTTTTATTTGTTTATTTTTATGTGGTGCTGTAGTTTAAACCCAGTGCCTCCTGCATGCTAGGCAAGCACTGTACCACTGAGCCACAACCCCAGCCCTTGGCATATTTCTTTGTGATCTTTTTACAAAACATTGTTAAATCTATATTTAAAACTTATAATCCCAGCTTTGTAGGAGGTTCACAAGTTCCAGGCCATCCTGAACAACTTAGAAAGACCCTGTCTCAAAAGAAAAAATAAAAAGGCCTAGGGAAGTATGGTAGAGCACCCCTGGGTTTGATCCCCAGTACCACACACACACACACACACACACACACACACACACACACACCATAGTAAAGACTGTCAGCTTTTATAAGGAGGTAATATATTTGCTTGAACCCAGGCCACCTGGCCATGTAGATTTCTGGTATCTCCTGGCTTCTGTTCTCTCCTCCTGGGAGCTGTCATCACAGCCCACTCCTAGGTGTCCTGAGAACCAGATCACAACCCTCCCAGACCCAGAGATGCCTTTATTTATCCTCACTCTGCTCCTCTATCTTCATTCCTCTGGTCTGCTGTCCCCCACTCCTGCCTTACCTGTCCCCCAGACATCGATGGTACCCAGAACTTGTGCTAGCTCATGCAGCACCTTGGTGGAACTTAGCGAAAGATGTGTCTCTGGATTGGCAGCTCCATGTTGGGACACACCGTTTTTGAGTGGAGAAGCCTGCATTTTTTTTATCCTCACACCTCTCAAAGATCTGTCCTTGTGGCGGGGTGGTGGGGAAAGGAAACCATCTCTTAGTAATTGCCTACCCTTATCCTAATTTTTACTTTGTAAAGCATGTCTACCTCTGTGGGCCGGGATTAACAGGAGAGCTAAATATTAGGGCTGGTGAGGACAGATAAGGAAACTGAGGCCCAGAAAAGTGATTTACCAGAGGTCACAAAGCTAGACAGAGCCCAGGACTTCCCATTCCCAGCTAGAAGCTCCCCATTCTCCCATGGTCCTTTTATTTTGTAAAGCAGGAAAGATGTATTTGGCTTATAGTTTCACGGGGTTCAGTCCCTGTGGCTTTAGTCATAGGGGATAGTTGAACATCATGGCAGAAAGTGTGTGGTGGGGGCTGGGGTCATGGCTCAGTGGTAGAGCACTTGTCTCACATGTGTGAGGCACTGGGTTCGATTCTTAGCACTGCATTCTAAGCAAAATGCACAGGATGTTTCTGTCTGCGTGACCAGTCATGGTCTGCCCACTCTGGGCAGCAGGGCCCAATGGTGGATTGGGAAGGGCTTGGTTCTGGTATCTAGATCCTGCATGCCCTGTGACCAGGCAAGTTGTTCCAGGGCCCGCAGTCCTGACGGCCTGGAAGGAATGACCTCAAAGCTTCCTATAGAGTGTCTCTGTGGGACAACGGGGTGAAGTTGTTCCATTGTCCTTCTGTCTGGCCCAGGAGTCCCTCTTGTTTGCTTTGGTGGCTCTTATCCTAGACTCTTCTTTCTTTAACACTTTTCCAAAGCATTACATCACACCAGCTATTCGAACCCTGGGTTTCTTTGGTCCTATCTTCAATTCTTCCTTCAACTCTTCAAATAGCTGGTGATTGCCAGGTGCGGTGCCTCACACCTGTAATCCCAGTAGCTTAGGAGGCTGAGGCAGGAGGATTGCGAGTTCAAAGCCAGCCTCAGCAACAGTGAGGTGCTAAGCAACTCAGTGAGACCCTGTCTCTAAATAAAATACAAAATAGGGCTGGGGATGTGGCTTAGTAGTGGAGTGCCCCTGAGTTCAGTTCCCAGGACCCCGCCTCCAGAAAAATAATGTGATTACTAAAGAGGCTAGAGAGGGCTGATCCAAGCTGCCCACAGGATTTGCCCACTGACCTTTGTCCCCTTCCCCTGCTCCAGCAGAAAGTCTCCCCTCCACTCAGGGAGCGTCATGACCGAAGTTGGTTGGTGGAAGTTGACCTTCCTCCGGAAAAAGAAATCCAGTCCCAAGGTGCTGTACGAGATCCCTGACACCTATGCCCAAACGGAGGGAGGCACAGAGACTCCAAGGCCCGACACTGGAGGGCCCAACAGCGACTTTAACACTCGTCTGGAGAAGATTGTGGATAAGAACACAAAGGGCAAGCACGTCAAAGTCTCCAATTCGGGTCGCTTCAAGGAGAAGAAAAAAGTCCGGGCCATGCTGGCGGAGAACCCCAGCCTCTTTGATGACCAGGAGAACAAAGGACAGTGAGAGGGGCCGAGGAGGATGCTAGCATCTCCCTGCTCCTTGCCATCAGCCGGATCTGAGACAGGAGCTTGCCACACTGGCCTCTGGTCATAGCTGAAACCTTAGGGGCAGTTGATGCCTGCTGGCAGGAAACGTCTGGGTTTTAAGTTTGTATTTCTGTGCCCCAGCTTTGTGTAAGGCCTGGGAGACCCCAGGCTCCCCTCCTCTTCCCCTGACCACATACAATGGCACTCTTGAATGAGGAGGAAAACTCCCACCCTGGAAGCCCAGCCCCCCTTGGAGGTGAGCGGAGGGGAGTAGAGAGGAGGAGTGGCAGACTCCACCTCCCCTGTGAACACAGGGTCAAGGGTGAGTTTGAATTGCTGCTCCCTCTACTTTCTCTACTTGTAACTGTTCCCTGGACCAATCCTAGGAGAGCACATTTTCCAGAAGCCACAGCCACGTGATTGGGGGAGGGGATGGTTTCCTTGGTGCCAGAGGCGGAGATGTTGAACTTGAGCTCACCTCTTAACACAAGTGGTAAACTTCCTGGAACTTTGCCCCCAGGTGTGGAGTAGTGGAGGACCCAGTCACTCCCTGGGATGGCTGCAGAAGGCCCGACCAGTGACTCCCCAGGTTTCTGTGTTGCCACTTGTGCAGAGACCCTCAAAGGGAAGCCTCACCAGCCAAGGAGCCAAACTGACGGTGTGGGTGGGAAAGCTCTGGTAGGAACTAAAAGCAGCCAGTTTTCTCCTCTCCTCCTCCGATAGTATTTAAGACATGAATCATGGAGCTTTGAATTTTGTTTAAAAAGTAATTGAAGGTTTCTCTTTGTGATAAACAATTCTGTAAAAGCAGAGAGCCTATTTATGCTCTTATCTTGCATTTATGGAGATGTGTGTTTTTTATGTGCTCAAACTGTTTCTTAGAGCTTCAGGAAGTGTCCTCAGGTGTGTGAGAATACAGGACCTTGGTTGATAATTCCACCATCAAACTAGGCTTAGTATGGAGGGAGGCAGGAAGGAGCTAGTTATACACACTTCAGTGGTTAGTTCCTTCTGGGAACAGAGAGGCCATAAAAGTGGGCCAGAACTTTAGTGACTGATCCTAAAGTCTCTGTGTGGTTTGGGATCAGGATTCAAATGCTGGCTTCCCTACTTAGTAGTTGGGTGACCTTGGGAACATTTTCTCAAAGACTACTCTGAGCCTCAGTTCCCTCTTCTGTGAAAGGGGCTGTAGTAGCACCTATTCATAGGGAGTGATCTGTATGAAATGGCCCATAAGGGGTCCCATACTAGGTGCTCAGTTAAATGTTGGTTTCCCTCTTCTTTTCTTTATTACAGAATAGTAAAGAAATTACATCATGCCCACAGCTTCAGTTTAAGAATGAAGCAAGAACTGTCTTCCTATAATGTTTAGGTCAGGCTCTTTTTAAAGGCACGAGACCTGGGAACTGGAAAATATTGGACAAATCTCTGGAACTTATGGTGGGAACAGGGCGAGTCCACGGTGGCCACTGAACTATGTGGCCCTGCAGCTTCCAGATAGCTTCTTGCAGGCTGCTGGGCCACCCCACCCCAGGGAACTGCCTGGAGAAATTTATTGCCAAAACAAACAGACCTATACAAGGGGGCCTTTGTTAGGTGCCTAACCCAGGCCAGGGGGAACTCAGAGGATGAGTGAGGGAGACCAGGATTTGGAGGAATAGAAGGTGGGTTCAAGGGTGCTGCCTTCCTCAAGGACTCCTCTCCTCCACCTCCCCACTAAATTTTCTATGTTCTCACCAATTTCTCAATCCATACAGCCTCCCGTGGAGGAGCTCAGACCTTCCCTAAACGTGTAGTCCTGCCTACTGTTAATAACTACCATTTACAGAGCACTTATAACAGGCAGCAGGGACACAAGCATTCCACAGGCCTCCTAATTTAATCAGTTCATTGCAGGAAATGAGTACTATTAACCCCATTTTCCAGATGAATTAACTGAGGCTTGGGTTAAATCACTTGCCCCTGGTTCAGGCGCTCAGAGGCAGAGCTGGATTAAAGTCAAGTTGGTCTGTGCCATTATCCACTGTCTCTATGGCGCCTTCCACTAGAAAATGAGGTTCAGAACAAAGAAAGAAGCATTGTTAGTCACCTTCTGCAGAAGGGGAGTGGGGGAAGAGAGAGGGAAATGTCTGGCCTTAGAATCCTGGGAGGTGAGGGCCACTTAAGGGTTTCAGACAGACCCTGGAATGGATGGGAAAGAGCCAACAGCCTCCAGGCTGGCTGTACCGTAGACCCCATATTGTAGGACCTCCATCACAGCCCAACTGGGGGTCCCTGAGGTGGGAGATGAGGATGGGCCCTGGGTCATGGTTCTGACTAATACTGGCACTGCATTGCCACCCACTCCAATATCACCTTCACCCCTCTTAAGTAAAAGGGTCTGGAGCTCCCTGTCCCTTGCATGCTGACCTTGCTCACAACCCTGAAGTGATCTTCACAGGAATCTTCCAGGGAAACTCCACACATATACAAAGAAGTTGCAGGGCTAGCTGGGGTAAGATGTGGCCACCCAGGAGTCTGAGAAAGGCAGCTGAAAGTTTTCAGGAGACAGGAGGAGGAGGAGGCAGAGGAGGAGGAGGAGGAGGAGGAGGAGGAGGAATTGAGAGTGCAAATATGTGCAGGAGCCGGAGAGGCTACGGGTTATCGACCACAGTTTCACTGGGACACCACCCAAGTGGAGGAAGGGGGAAGCAGGCAAGGCTGGCTGGAACTGCCCGCTACTACCCCAAAGGAGCCCACTCTGGGTGTCGAGCTCCCCCTGCTGGACGACCAACATGCAAGGTGAGAAGCTGGTAAATTCCCAGCTCCTCCTTTCTTGGGAGGTGGGGGAAATCAAGCCAGGTTAAACATTAATACCACACTTGGTTGACAGGCTTTTATTACACACTTGGCATAGCAATCGATACACAGAGAACTGAAAAGGAACAGCTGAGACCAGGCTCAAAGCTGAGAGGTGACACAGCCCCAATAACACAGATGGGGTGTAGTACTTTTCACACACACACACACACACACACACAAAAAAAAAAAAAAAAACATGTGCTCATAAAAGTTGCAGTCCATGGCACAACAAAAGGGACCAAGTAGGTAAGGCTGCCCAGTAAAGTGACCACAGGGTCAATGTGCCTTCCTACATTCAGGCTTAAGCAGGGATCAATACAGGAGAGGGCTGCCCTTGGAGGACCCCTGCCAATAACAGACTGAAGCCCACACCCATATAGTTAAAGGAAGTACAGTTTACAGAGTAGCAAGTTCAAGGTCAACCAGTGCAAATAATTTTGGCTCTGTCACAGCAAATATTTACCAGCCTGGTTCCTCTCCATGGCCAATAGGCCATTTGGCCATGTCCCTAGTCAGCAGGCCTGTGCTCAAGAGAAGCAAATGCAGTGTAGCACAGAAGACAGACAAGGGCTATGAAAGGCTCACCAACTTTGTGAGTGGGAGACCTTGCTTAAGAGGTGGAGGCCAGTGCATATGGTCACTGGGAGTCTTGTAAAAATGCAGAACTGGATTCATTAGGTCTGGGGTGGGCCTGATGGCCTGCACCTCTAATGGACTCCCAAGTGATGCTAATGCTGCTGGTCCACAGACCATATGACAAGTGTCAAGAATTTCAGACTATAAGGTCTCAATTTTGGCTGCACAGATTTCCCTGAGGGGCATTTAAGTTCCCCAATGCCCCACTGCACCGAGATCAGTTAAATCCTCTCCGAGGATAGGATCTAGGGCATCTAGAGTTTTAAACTTCCCTGGGTAATTCCAATGTAGGTGAAAACCAGTGACCTAGGAATTATCTTCAGCAGAGGTGAGGAGTAGGGGAAGGGAGTGCATGGATAGTCCGAACAGCAAATCTCTATAATAATTTTACATTTGGAAAATAAGTATATGTGTACCTACACGTGTGCATGCATGCGTGCACTAAATTTCCATAAATGAACATGGTCAGTAAAGTTTTATAAAAATATCTCTGGCTTATAAGTAACAGCACATGAAACCTTCTACAAAATTTCTGATGGGCTAGGATCCAATACATCTAGTGACAGAACACTCACACACAATAGATGGCTCATTCCAATTTCTCTCCATATTGAGATGAAACCTACTTATCTATAAATTCTACCTATGGGTCCCTAGGAGCTATGAAGAATAAATTTAATCTATGCATATTGCTATGCTTCAAATAATAGAAGGCAGCAATCAGTGGGGGTGAATGTTACAAAAATAATCTTTCATAAATTAGTTCATGTTCTTTTATTTGTAAATTAATTCTAGTTTAATCTGAGAAAAGAAGAAGAGGAAGAGGGAGGAGAAGGAGGAAGAGAATTTATATAGATAGTAGGGTGTTCTGAGACAGGAGGAAGAACCACACAGCAGAGACAAGACAAGGAGGGGTGCAGGGCAGTGCAGGAACTGCAACAGTAGCAGCCAGAGGCTGTTTCTTGGTTGCTATTAATGACTTAGCTACAATGACTTCCAAGGCTCTGGGTCTCTCCATTTCAAACTTCAAATTATTAACAAGAATATCTGATTGACTAATTGGCTCAGGTGCCTGCACTGGGACCAATCAGTTTAGAGCAATATGGTTTACCTAACAGACTGGGAGTGGGCCAGAAAGGGAGTCACACCAGCCACCACCCCTACGGGGAGCTATTCCAAAAAATCACAGGCAAAGTTAAAAAAAAAAAAAAGGGGGGGGGGATGATTACAGGATTCTCCCGCAAGTGTGGTTCTCTAGACTCAGTACAATCCATTCCAGCAGCTAACTGATGCCTAACTGAGTACAGAGAACTCTGAGAAGGAGATCTGGAGAGCCACAGATATAAAGGGTGGGAAGAGAAATGGACCGAATTTTAAAAAAGGGCCAGGCTCCCAGTCCCACACCCTCTCAGCACCTCATCCCTGTTGCACTCTAGCCAGCCTCAAGTCAAGGTGCAAGTCTCTCATAGAGCCAGCCTTCCTCCCCGCGATGAGTCATGGGCCCCAAAGGGGAGTCTCCTATAGAGAGGTCCTGACGAAAGACAATCCGGTCATGTAGCCGGTTGGTTTGGCCTTGCCAGAACTCTATCACCTGCGGGCACAGGACATAGCCGCCCCTAGGAGGAGAAGCAGAAGTTCACTCTCCACTCTCACCCCTCACCCCAGGCTCTCTGGCATCAGATGAGCATAGCTGGGAGGAGCAGATCTAGAATTCCACACACAGGGGTCCTGATGTCCACTTCTGGAGGACAACCTGGCATCACTCACCAGTATTTGGGCTTGGGCACCTCTTGTTCCCGATAAAGCTGCTCCAGTTCCTCATTTTTCTTTCTCAAATACTGTTCAGGAGAAGAATATGGAGGAAGATCCAGGCCCAGCGATGATTCATTTAAGGACTTACTGATTTTGTGCTTTGGGCTAGGGGCTGGGGACACCGAGGTAAGCTAGGCAGACTGGAGCACAGTCAACAGAAAGGCCAAACAAAGGCAGTCCATTCCCGCCATCCCTCTCTTCCCTAGGAATTCCCTGAAAACCCTCACCACTTGGAGGACTATAGGGGAACCCCACTCACCTCCCGATCAGGGATCACAGAACTCTGGTGGCTGACCACAGCACCAATCTGGCTGCTCTTGGGGCGGGAGTGGAAGTAGCACTCAGCCTCCTCCTCAGGCAGCTTCTTCACGGAACCCTCCACGCGTACCTGCTCAGGGATGGACCCTGGCTGGGTGGCTTTCAATGCCGATGGCCCTTCCTACCAGCACAGGACCTGATTCTATGTGTTCTCTCGGCTGTCTCTCCTCTCCTGCCCCAGATAGACCAGCTGACTCAGCATTGTGTGAGAGGCAGGGTGCCCAAACATAGGCAAGATATGTGTCCAGTTGGGGAACCTTTTTTAGACTAATCCATAAACGTGTTCACACGAACTCAGTTCACCCCAGGCTGTCCTGGGAACATTCACTTACCTGGCGGTTAAGGGGCTCCCAGTAGAAGACAAGGGAAGCAAAGGGATTAGAGTCCTGGAAATGAAAGAGAATTCATGGATAACCATCAGGACAGGGAGAAGATACTTCTGACATGCAGGGTGAAGGCAGGAGGTATGCAGCATGCAGGCCCCCAGCAGATGCATTCATGGTTATATCTCATTTAAACCCTCAAAGATAAGCCTACCATCCATCACAGATGTGGAGACAGGCTCAGAGAGAGTGTCAGAGTTCACATACTAAGTGGAACAGCTGGGTTTAAGCCAGTCTGACTCCAGAATGAGACTTGGGCTGGCAGCAGTGGTGCATGCCTGTAATCTAAGCAACTTGGGGAGGCTGAGACAGGAGGACTGCAAAATTCAAGACCAGCCTTAGCAGCTTAGTATGGTCCCAAGCCACTCAGTGAGACCCTGTCTCAGAAAAAAAAAAAAAATTCTAAAAGGGGGTCTGGGGTTGTGGCTCAGTGGTAAAGTGCTTGCCTAGCACATGTGAGGTACTAGGTTCGATTCTCATGTATCATATGTAAAAATAATAAAATCAGAAAATAAAGGTTCACTGGCAACTTAAAAAAAAGGTCTAAAAGGGTGGGGACTGTAGTTCAGTGGTTAAGCACCCTCGGATTTAATCCCCCATACCAAAGTCAAAACAAAACAAAAACCAAAATAACAACAAAAAATGAGTCTTGGCTATTTCTGTCAGTCATAGATTTGTGAGAAATGCATGTTTGGCTGGCATGTACTTAGGCAGGATTTCTCATTTTGGACTTATTCACTGAGTGCATACAGAATGCCAATTTTGTGTCCGACACCATGAGAGGGACTGCAGGTAAAACAGATAAAAAAGATGCAGCTTCCTCATTATTAAGTATAACTACAATGCATCTATAAAAAATGTTTTTTTAAAAAAAGGATGCAGCCTCTATACCCATAGTTACTGTTTAGCAGAGGAGACACATTATTAGTGAACAATCACATAAATAAGCACATAGTCACAAACTGGAAAAAACTGGCAGAAAGGAAAGTTGCAAGTTAAAATGACAGCCAACAGCTTCAGAGCTGACTCGGCTGACTCTCCTGAGGAGGCAACACTTGGGCTGAGACCTAAAGGAATGGGAGTTAATTAGGCATCTATCGGATGATAGAGGTAAGGGTGGAGAAGAGAATTGCAAGTGCAAAGGCTTCAGGTGGAAGGGACCCTGAGCTCGGGAGCCATGGACGGGGGTGCAAGGCATGAGAAGGCCATGCAGGCAAGGGTGGAGGCTGGGCCCACAGGCCCTGCGAGGATTGACCCTGAACCCTCACCAGCTCTTTTCCTTTTCGACTCTCGTAGTTAGTGAAGAAGCGGAAGCCATCCTTGCCAAAGCCCTTCAGCAGCAACATGCGGGCAGAGGGTTTTCCGTCTCTAGGGGCACACAGCAGAGCGCTGTAGTGAGAACCCAGTTCACTGTTCTTGCCTTGATCCTCCCTCCCATAAGATGTGTGAGCATCCACTCTGTTATGCCCCCTTATTTGGCTCTCAGGAACCCACTCCCATGTGCCCCTAGGGACCTGTTCTGGCAGTACAACTATGACACCACTGCCTGGTGCCCTGTTATAGACTGTCTATAAATCCATATGTTGAGGCTCTAACTTCCAATGTGACTATATTTGGAAACAAAGCCTTTAGGGAGGTCATTAATGTTAAATAAGGTTGTAGGGAAGGGGCCCTGATCCAATAGGACTGGCATCCTTGCGAGAGGAGAGAAAGACAACAGTGCTCTCCCATGCATATACAAAGGAAAGCAAGAACACAGTGAAAAGGCAGCTGTCTATAAGCAGGTAAGACACAGACAGGTCTTACTAGAAAGCAAGCCTGACAGCACCTTGATTTTGGACTTTTCGCACCAAGAATTGTGAAAAATAAACTTCTGTTGCTTTAGCCACATAGTTCTAGTACTTTGTTATGGCAGCCCTACAAAATAAGGCCCTAAGAACAGGGACCAACAATAATGCCACCACCCTGTGCCTAGGGGTCATAGAAGGAGCTATAATATCAGGTCCTCTGCATGGAGCTCTGAGGGATACCCAGAATAGTATAAGAGCCTTGCCTTTAAGCCCTGCACTTTAGTGAGGGGGTAAAAGATGAATTAAATAAGAAGTTTTGAGATGTGCCAAAGGGTATATGATTGGTTGTCAAAAGTGAATGATAAGAGCCAAGCACTGAGCTAGGATTTATGACAGGGACAGAGCTCCTGGGGTGACCCCATCTTGAAGGGCAGATGGGGCTTGGGCAGATGGGGAGAGAGGCAAGGGGTTGTGTATGGGTACATCAAGGGCAGAGATGTACAAGGCACTCCCTTTAATCACTGAAAGGGAATTTAGTGGCCTCATTTTTGGTTTACCAGTAAAGTTCGGTTTATAGAGGCCCAAATAGGATAAGTGACTTGTCTATGTCACACAATATTTTAATAACTGAGGTGGAACAATAAATTTAGCTTTCTAATTTTCCAAATTCATCTGTACCCAACCACATGAAGCCCAGAGATATGCCCACCTGGTGCAGGTGGCCAGACACATGGCGTTGGCTTCCCCGATGTCAGGGCATTGAACAGCCTCTTCAAACCAGGAAGCAAACTGCTTAATGGGGTCCCGAGAGGTCAGATGAGTTTCTTCAAATGCCTGGGAAGGAAGTTTTATTTCATTTAATAGACACATATAGTGCTTATTATTTACCTGGCACTGATCAAAGAACATTTTCTGTAATACTGGGGATTGAACCCAATGGTGCTCTACCACTGAGGCACATCCCCAATCCCCTTGTTTTTATTTCTTATTTTAAGACAGGGTCTCACTAAGATGCCCAGTCTGGCCTTAAACTTGCAATTCTCTTGCCTTAGCCTCCTGAATTGCTAAGATTGAAGAATGACACTACTTGTAGCTCTTTCTGTCCTCATAACAATGGCTTCACAACAAAAAACAGTACCCAGGAAATAAGTTCTATGCCCTATTTTACAGGTGAAGAAACACATACACAGTCTAAAAGACTTGCTGGATCCCACAACTAGAAAGGAATGAATCAGGGTCTCAGGATGTCAAAACTCTCTGTGTATCGGAATCACCTGGGGAGCCTAAAAAAGGATTCCTGTGTTATCCACCCCACAAACACATAATAAATTTTCATGCAAATAGGTCTGAGGTTTAATGAGATACTACATTTTAAAACAAGCATATCTGGAAATGCTCGCATGCAACCAGATATGGTAACCATAACTCTGGATTCCCGGTTCCAAGATAATTCTCTTGTTCCCAGTCCTGAGAAGGGAAAGGAAGTAAGCAGAAAGGAGGTGCTGAAGGTAAGTGCTAAGATCACTTATTTAACTCCCTCCTCCTTATAAGCTGTTTTATCACTGTTATAGCACTTATCACTGTTACAGCACTGTCGTAAGTACATCTAAGTCCACAGTATCCTTGTAAGTACTTCATGGGTGAGGAAATTGAGTCCCAGAGAGGATAAGTGCATTGCCCAAGGTGACAGGCACATCCAGTAGATGGCTGAATTCCATCCCTGATGGGCTTCAGAGTTTGAGCTTTAACTAGGATGAGCTTCCTCTTGACCCACCTTCATTCACGTCTCCCCTAAGTCCCTCCCCGATGGTCGTCTCTGAATCCCGCTTCTCCCATCAGGTGGCCCCTGCAAACCCCTCCCCTCCGTGGATGACTCCGCGGCCCCCTTCTCCCGCCCCTGCGGGAGGCCCTGCCCGAGCGGCGGCACCTCTCGGTCCCCGCGGTAACTCTTGCGCATGGGTCCCAGGTCCATGGCAGCGCCGCGGCTACACAGGTGGCGGAGGTAGCCCGGCCACTTAGCAGGTCGTCCAAACGTCACAGTGACGCCCCGCAGCCCGCACGTCATGGGGACCGCTGGTCATGTGATCTGGCGTCGCCTAACCCTGGTTCCGTTGGGTTCGGAACCAATTTCTCAGCCTGGGCGTCTAACTCGGGAAGGAAGGATTTGCTAGCGACCCAGACAAGCTAACAGGTACTAAGTCCTCGGAGCCAATGGGTGTCCAGGATCGGAGGAGGGAGACAGACACGGAGAGGTCATTGGTTGGAGTTTTCCAGGAGCATGGCCAATTAGAGAGCGAAGAGAGGAACCCAGGGCCCAATGGGCAGCGCCTCCGGGGGCGGGAGCAGAGAGACAAGGAAATGCTGTCACCGCCGTTAACACGCACGTGGAGGTTTGTTAAAGGTATAGGTACTGCAGTAGCTCAGGTGGGGATCGGGGGAGGAGCCCCTGGGGGCTTAAGGAGAGTGGCCAGTAATAAGTGGGAGCCCCATCGTAGGTAACTGGAAGCCAGTTTTGGGCAGGAAGTACCACCTAGGAGGGGAGGTTGGTGGACTGGGAAAGAAAAAAATGGAAAATGGAATTAGGGATCTGACTCCGAGGCAAGGTGAATTGGGACACACAGAGAAAGGGGCAGTCTGATTGGAGGAAAATTGTGACTTGAGAGTGGGAGAGGTTGAAATAACTTTTATGGATCATACACTTGCTATGCAGTGGGGATGGGGGCTAGAACTCTGAGGTCTGGGAGGTGCACTGGGGTCTGGAAGAGACTGGGATGAGAAGGGAGACCACTTAATGGGAAAGAAAAAGAGGGAAATTTGGGGTCAAACCATCCAAGATCAGACCCCTCTACCTCTTCCAGCTCTGATCTCCCTTCCTCCTGCCTCATATCTCAATTCTGCTGTCTTTTTTCCATGATACCATAAACAATGATACCCTGTCCATTGCACCAAAGTTTATACTAGCCAGTGTTCTGTTAGATGAGAGGTTGTCACTTTCCCACCTCTCCCAGGCCTCTCCCATCTTGGCTGTTTCCCGTTTTTCACATTTTGCCTTTCCTAGGTAGTAAGGATAGTCCTTAGGTCAATGCCAGCAATATCCAAGGATATAGGGGAGCAGGTGACTGTACAAAGCCACTTCCAGGCTTTGTACATAAGACTGAGAAATGGGAAACCTGCCAATGCTCATCCCAGCTTTACCTGCCTGGGGCAGCGTGGGGTTGAGGCCACCATCATCTGGAAGGTTGCTGCAAGAGCCATCTAGGCAGGCCCCTAGGACTGTGCCAGGTAAGAGGGACTCCTGGTCTGCCTGGGTGTCTGCACTGGATACCTGTCAACCTTTATATATATATTCATGGCTTGAGCCATATAGAATCTGGAAGACACATTTTCTGCAAAGAAATTAGACCGTCTCAAGATTTGATTTAATCTTTGGAGTCTCCACTGGTTAGATTTTTTGATTCCATCATGATTGTTGATTTTTGATTCCATCTAGATTGTTGACTAGACTTACTTTCTTGTTGAAGTTGCCTTTCCAAATGTCTTCCCCAACCCCCAAGCCCCTGCATGTGAACCTGTGTAAGCAATAATTAGTGTCCTTCATGGGGCCATGCTCTTTTTGCACTCCTGGGCTATTGCTACCCTGGATCTGGATTCTAATGGGCACCAAGATTAAGATTATTTGTGTAGTTTGCTTAAAAGTCAAGAACTGCAGGGCACGGATGGTGGCACATGCCTGTAATTCCAGCTACTCTGCAGGTTGAAGCTGGAGGTTTGCAAGTTCAAGGCCAGTCTGGGCAGTTGAGCAAGACCCTGTCTCAAAATAAAAAATAGGAGGGGCCAGGAGACATAGCTCAGGATTTAATCCCCTGAACAGTAGAATAGTTGCAGGTATTTAACAGATGTTTCCATTAGATAAAGGGAAGCAAAACAAGGGGACAGACAGTCCAGAAGCCTCATAAAGCGAGCAGATGTTGGAATTTTCTTAACAAGTGTTTGCCACATGGACAATGGAACAGGCATTCAGGAAGAGGGAAGATGGTGAGTAAAGGCATGACACCTGGGGAATGGGAGGACTGCTGCTGGAGCCTGGCAGTCAGAAACAAGCCAAATGAGCCGGCAGAGCCCTGTGTTGGGTGCTGGAAGACTCCGCACGAAGGTGGTGAGGGCCAGGCTTTTTTTTTTTTTTTTCCTGTACTGGAAATGAAACCTAGGGGTGCTCTACCACTGAGATACATTCCCAACCCTTTATTTTTTGATAAAAGTTTGGCTAAATTGCTGAAGCAGGCCTTGAATTATAGGCATGTGCCACCACGCCCATCATGAGCCATGCTTTTAATACACAATGATTCTATATTGAACCAGAGTCTAATTCTGATTATTTATTATTTATTTTAAGACCAGATGGAGAGAAAAAAGGGCTAGATTCTGACAGCCTCTCTCTTCCTTGGCAATTATCGAGGAAATTCACGGCTCATTCCCTTTTTAAAAAAATTTCCCCCTTTGTCTTGAAGATAGTAAGTAGGCTTGTGTTGCGCTTTTCTGTTTAGTTGGATTTGGTGTCTGGATCACTCAGCAGCCTGGCTGCTGGCTGTGACTGCTACTTATGCAACCCCTGGCAAGAGTTTTCTGAGTGGGAGAAATGAATTTTTTATTGGTGCTGCTTTTTCTCTTTCTCTTCTTCTTTTTTTTGGGGGGGGGGGTATAGTTATTGAACCCAAGGGCACTTGTTCTACCATCAAGCTACATCCCCAGCTCTTTTTATTTGGAGACGGGGTCTCATCAAATTGTCCAGGCTGGCCTTGAGCTTTTAATCCTCCTACCTTTCAGCCCCTTGAGTTGCTGGGGTTATGGGCATGCACACATGCCAGGCTGGTACTGCATTTTCTTTAGCACTTTGCCATATCCCCACACTTTGTAATATTATTAATCCTTTCTTGCAAAAGGCTGAAGTGAATAGAAAAAAAATTGCAAAACTTCATTATACAGAGAGTAATACTGGTTTCTCAATATGAAACAAAAAAGTCTGTGTGTTGGGAACTATGCCTTGCCTGTTTTTTTCTAATGCTTTTGCATTTATTTTCTTTTTTTTTTTAATATTTATTTATTTATTTATTTTTAGTTTTCGGCGGACACAACATCTTTGTTTGTATGTGGTGCTGAGGATCGAACCCGGGCTGCACGCATGCCAGGCAAGCGCGCTACCACTTGAGCCACATCCCCAGCCCTGCATTTATTTTCTTAAACCTTGTTTTTCCTCTACTTATCTGATGGGATTACTAGGTTTCTGTTTTATTTTATTGATTGGATTTATGTTTGGGAACCTGCCTCTGGTGACTAAGTGGATAATTGACAAGGCAGGGTAAGACTGGTGACAGGGAGATGCTGCCCAGTGTAGTCGAGGTGGACACTGGGGCGGGCATGGCTGATGCATGAATGTTGGGAGGGAGTGTGGAGAGGAGAGATCACTCACTGGTTTTTGGCAACATGGGTGGTGCTGCTAATTCATTGGGGTGTGTTGGAGAAGGGAGTTTGTGGGGAAAGATGAATTCCTTATCATATCTGTGAAAGACACCCATGTTTGATTAGGTTAAATAGTAGAGTCTGGAGCTTAGGGGAGAGGTCAGGCACTATGTCACAAGTGGAGGTACAGGGACTAATGAGATGTTTGCTGAAGAAATATAGCCTTGTGAAGGGCAGAGGTGAGAAGTTACAGTCAGGAACCAGGAGGCAAGAGGTAAATCTTTAAATGAGCAGCTACTTCATGTCTAACAGAGCAAAAGTTTTTGTTCATGAAGAAGCCATCACTTCATGAAACTGGACCGATTTAGGCATCATGAGCCTCTGAGGTGGCACTTGAAGCTATAGGGAAGATGAGAATGTCTGAGAAGAAGGGAGAGGACGTGGGAATGTTAAGCACTGTGGGGAAGGGGAGAGGTCCAGACTGTAATGATGAAATAGAGACTCAACTTGCCAGCAGCATGACCGGCACAGGGTTGGAGGCCTGGGGGGGCTCAGGATATTTCTTATCCTTGCGGTGAACTTACCTTGGAGCCTCAGAGGTAGCCACACCAGGACACACAGAATGGTGGGTGCTTGGTTCCTTGCTAGCTGGTGCCTGAGCTCTGAGTAGGTTATCAAGAGCTCAGAGGGGACTGGGTCCTCTGAAGCCCACTGTGGGATGAGAGGAGGCTGAGCCTTATCCATGCTCTGCCTGTGGTACTTGGCGGTTAACCCTCCACGTGCTCCCAGATTGCCTCCCACATCCATTCTGTAGTGTTCATTCGTGGGACTGATATTAGGGATCAGAGTGGGAGCTGCTTCACGGGAGAGATCACATCTCTTACTCAAAATCCCAGCCAATAGGGTGAGCTCAGGAAATGCTGATCTGTAACGATTATGCATAAATTGCTCTTGTTAAGCCTCTCTGTACAGTTGGGGGCTAGGCAGCAACAAACAGTGAGAAAGTGTTCGTTGATGGGAGGGATGTTAAGCTTTCAAAGGCCTAATGAATTACGTCAGTCTCAGTCCCTGGACCAGCTGCTTTGGTAATTAGTGGGGGCCCCAGGCAGTAGATGGAGGCCACGAGATGGGTTTTCAGGCAGGCCCAGAAGATGGGACCTGGCGGCTTTTCCTTTGGGAAATCCTGGTCTCTCTTGGCACTTGGCCTGCCCTGTGTCAGTTCTCATTTCCTCTTGGCCCAAGATCTCTGTGAGCAGGTTTCTAATCCCCCTCTCCAAGCCCTGAGTGCCTGTGGTAGCCCACTGGTGGTTTGCTTTTTTCTCATCCATGGCTCTATTCATTGATTCCTTTTCCCAGCACCTCTTACCTCTTCTACTCCCCGAGTGCCTGTTCACCTAGGAAACCCAACTGTCACCTGTCCTGAGATTACTCTGCTTCCTTCCTTCCTTCCTTTTTAAATTTATTTCTTAGAAAACCACATATGTTTATCCTGTATTTTTTTTTTTTTTGAGCATTCAAGACAGTGTCTTAATTGTCACAGTAGACATATCCAGGACTAAAAGGGTTTTCCAAATTGTTATGATTTGCATTTTCCGGGAGAGGCGGGCAGGAGGATACTAGTGATTGAATTCAGGAGTTTTTGACCACTGAGCCACGTCCCCAGTCCTATTTTGTATTTTAGTTAGAGACAGGGTCTCACTGAGCTGCTTTAGCACCACACCTTTGCTGAGGCTGGCTTTGAACTCGTGATCCTCCTGCCTCAGCCTCCCGAGCATTAGGATTACAGATGTGGGCCACTGCACCTGGCTTTCTTTTTATTTTCAATTAATTAATTTAGTTTTTTAGTTGTAGATGGACAGATGGATACAATACCTTTATTTTATTTATTTATTTGTATGTGGTGCTGAGGATCAAACCCAGAGCTTCACACATGCCAGGCATGTGTGGCTTCACCCCAGCCCCAAAGACTTCAGTCAAATCATATATTGTCTCTGAACTATGTAAGATCTCAGCCCAAATTAGGGTCCCTAGAATCTATGTTACATTAGTTATAAGCCCCCTGACGGATCCAGGGGGTGCCTGAGATGCTACCGGTGGCTCCTTGTGAGGGCTGGGCAAGGGGCAGCATGAAGGTGGGCTGTGGCTGGCAAGCTCTGCCCATAGCAGGTGCCCATGCCTCAGTCTCCAGAATCTCTGGATCCTAGTCACCCATTACACTAGCCCACTCTCCACAGCGAGTGTTGACCACTCTGATTGTGAAACTGGTTGCATGATCTTGTTCCATCTGCTTTGATTTTCACTTGTATGTTGCATTCCATTTCTTTCTTTCTTTTTTTTTGGGGGGGGGGTGCTGTCAGGGATTGAACTCGGGGTACTTAACCCTTGGGCCACATCCCCAGTCCTTTTTATTTTTTATTTTTATTTATTTATTTATTTATTCATTTGTTTAGTTACTTTTGGTGCTAGGGATTTAACCCAGGGGCACCTAACCACTGAGCCACATCTCCAGCACTTTTAAAGTTTTTTTTTTATATTGAGTCAGGCTCACTAAGTTGCTTAGGGCCTCTCTAAGTTGCTGAGGCTGGCTTTGAACTTGTGATCCTCCTGCCTCAGCCTCCTGAGTTGCTGGGATTACAGGTGTGTGACCTTTTTTTTTTTTTTTTTTTTTTAACATTTATATTTTAGTTTTAGGTGAACCACACCTGGCCCTTTTTATTTTTTATTTTGAGATAGGGTCTCTCTAAGTTGCTTAGGGCCTTGTTGAGGTGGGCCTCAAACTCACAATCCTCTTGCCTCAGCTTTCCAAGTCATTGAGATTACAGGACACACCACTGTGCCTGGCTGTACTCCATTTCTTGACTTAAGTAAAAAAATTTTTTTTTAATTTTTAAAATTTTTGAGGCAATTTTAGATTTACTGAAAAATTACACATATAGTACAAAGATTTTCCATATACCCTTCACCCAGCTTCTTCTAAAATAAAGAGCTTACTAACCATAGCACAGTTACCAAAAACAAGAAATTAACAGTGATTCATAGGCTTTATTTGAATTTTGCCCTTACCCCCAACTAAAGTCCTTTTCCTCTTCTGAGATCCAGTCTGTTCTCATATTGCATTTGGTGGTCTTGTCCTCTTAGTCTCTAGGTCTCAGTCTTTGAGCTCTGTTGTCTACATCCCCTGACACACACACACTTAAGAATGGGTATGGAGCTGGCAAGGTGGCTCACAACTCTAATCCCAGAGGTTGAGGTAGGAGGATCGTGAGTTCAAGGCTCAGCCTCAGCAATTTAGCAAGGCCCTAAGCAACTCAGTGAGACCTGTTTCTAATCCCTGCTTGGGATGTGGCTCAGTGGCTAAGCGCCCTGCGTTCAATTCCTGGTACCATAAAGAAAAAAGAATGGGTATGGAATGTGGAGAGAGAGGGATCCACATCACTCTGGGAATGATACAGCAAATCTGGTTGGAGACAAACTGAAGGTCGGGTTGGCCTTGGGTGGGGTGGGGTAGTTTGCAGAACTGTGTAGACTGCAAAGCCTCTGCCATATTCCCTTTTGCCTGTGGTTAAGGAAGATGCTACTAGCCTGACTCTGTGTGTGTGTGTGTGTGTGTGTGTGTGTGTCCATTAGGATCTGAAATAGGACTGTTTCCTGAACTCAAATCTTGTCCATCCCTGGGGAGGCCAGGGTGTCCCCTTGCTATGACCTTACCAGTCCATGATTTTTTTTTTTTTTTTTTTTTGCCATACTGGGGATTGAACCCAGGAGTACTGTACTCCTGAGCTCCATCCCTACTCAGTCTTTTTATTTTGGGCCCTTTTAATTGAATTTCTCGCTATATTACTAAGATTGGCCTCAAATTTGCCATCTTCCTGTCTCAGCCTTCTGAGTCCTGGGATTATAGGCATTACTACTGTGCCTAGCTCCTGCTGTATTCTTTTTAAAATATTTTTTTAGTCTTTGATGGACCTTTATTTATATGTGGTGCTGAGGATCGAACCCATACCTCACACATGCTAGGCAAGTTCTCTACCACCAAGTCTCAACCCCAGCCCTCCTGCTGTATTTTTAAACAATTGAGCCAACATTTAAAGATTTGGAGACTTCACACAAAACTCTGTGTTTTAAGTCAGCTTTCCAATATTGCACCTAACAGAATGCCCGAGATAAGAGGAAGGTTGTTGCGGATGGGAGGCTGAGGCAGGAGGATTGCAGGTTTGAGGCTAGCTTTAGCAACTTAATAAGACCCTGTGTCAAAAAAAATAAAATAAAATAAAAAGGATTGGGAATGTAGCTTAGTGATAAAGCACTCCTGAGTTCAATCCCCAGCACCAAAAAAAAAAAAAAAAGGTGGGAGGGCTAGGATTTCAACTCAGTGGTGTAGAGTGCCCTTGGGTTCGGTCCCCAGTACTGGGGGTTGGGAAGAAAGAAAGAAAAAGGAGAGGTTTATATTTCAGCTTAGTTTTGGAGGTTTCAGTCCATGGTTGGTTGGCTCTGTTGCTTTTAGGCCTGTGGGGAGGCAGTAGATCATGGTGGAAATGCGTGATGAAGCTGCTTACTTTCTGTGGCTAGGAAGGAAAGACAGGAAGAGGAGGGGCTGGAGTGCCAATATTCCCTTCAAGGCCATGCGCCAATGAGCTGACCTCCTCCAGGTCCACACCTCCCAATGGCACCATAGGCTGGACCAGGCTTTAAACACATGGACCTTTTGAGATGTGCAGGATCCAAACCATAGCACTCCACATTTCTAGCTTCTCTTACAAAAGTCAACAGACGTGGCATTCTTGCACAGCACCAACTGGCCAAAGCCAAGTAGGGACACCCAGTTGGTGGAGTGTGTGTCCCAGTTTTTGGTTTTTGTTTCAGTGCTGGGAATCAAACCCAGGGCCCTGGACATGCTAGGCAGGCACTCTGCTACTGAGCTACATCCCCAGCCCTGTGTGTCCCAGTGTCATGGTCATGTACTCCCCAATATTTCATTTGCCATGGTGCTTGCTCTGTTTTCCTTACAGTTGAAAATGGTTTCCCTCTGGTCCCGAAGCCACTGAGTGCAGTGGGCTAGTGTTTAATTGAAACACGTGACAACTAGAGAAGAAGCCCCCCACCCCAACGGCCTCGCGGGCCTGAAGAATGCCCCAGAAGGAAGGTCTGATTAGAAGAGACTGGAATGAGGTAGGGTAGGAAGGAATCAGCCTTCAAGGGAGGGAGGGAGGTGGGGGAGAGTTCCTAGATCACAGCTCATCTCTAAAGGATGCCAAAGTGTCAGGTCAGTTTCTTCACAGAAAGCATAAGGCACCAGCCTTGGAATCCACTCCCAGGAACAGTAATTCTTTGTGCCTAAGAGCAAAATCAAGAACGTGTGACAGAAAGGAGCCAGTTGGTTAATACATCCCTTCTCTCCACCAACCCCTCATTCAGAGCATGCAAGGCAGTTTTCCAGCTGTGCCACCCACACATAGGGGATAGGTAAGTGTACCTCACGCCTTCCCCCGGTTGTCAGAGCAGCAATGAGATGCAGGGCTGATGGGCTGAGGAAGAGGTTCTCTGCCAGGGTCCATTCAGCTGCTCTTCTAGTATTTTGCCCTGAGAATTGAATGTAATGGGAAGGGTCTCCCTACCTGCTGACAAGTGAGCAAAGGCAGAGAACCTGGATCCATCTAAGATCCTTGTCCTTTTTATTTTTTTAGTCCTGTGCAGGTCAACTGGCACTAAAAGAAAAGCTGTTTTGTAGCAATGCAGGTAGCTGGCAACAAAGGCAAGAGGACAGGGCAGTGAGAATGAGCCTCACCACTCCTGAACAGGACCACCACCCTGGGTGTCCTGAGGGTGAGTAAAAAGCACATTCTGTTCTCTGCGTGCTTGAGATGACTCGCCTTTCCCTTCAGCCCCAGATGCTCTGCTCTTCAGGCCCCAAAGAGGCTTAAATATCAGCTCTGACCTTTACCTGCATAATACCACAACCCTGGACTTCCTGCCTCCCCCCTCAAAAAAAAAAAAAAAAAAATCCCCACCAAAATTTCAGATCTGTAAAACCTTGCTAAAACCAAAAGGTGTGCATCAACTGACTGCCCTCCCTGGGATGCTGGACAAGGGGACAGAAGAAAAACAGAACCTGGCCAGCCAGGGTCCTTTTAGGAAAAGCTGGGATCACAGGCCTCTAGCTGCTGGGCCCTCTGAGGAATCTGCCTGGTCCTGTGCCTTAGGAAGGGCCCTGAGTCCTTGGGAAACTGTTTTTTCCAGACTCTGAGCCTTTTGGAAGTGGCTAAGCCAAAGTCCCTTGGCTCTTCTCCCTAAACTTATTATGGGCTATGAGGCCAAAGCCCTCCCCTCCAGGGCCTGGGAGTTGTGGGGGAGTCAGCTTGCTGGCTGAGGGAGTGCCTGCTGTAACTTGTCTCTGTGGCAGAAGCAATACTGGCTTGTGGAAAACAAACACACACTAGGTGGGCCCTGGCCTCTGAGAAGGTCCCTGGAGACGCTCTGGGGACTTCACTGTGAAGCACATATGGCTGCAGCCCCTAGGCAGGGTCCTATCTTGGTCCAGGTGTGGATCGCTCTGAGAGACAAAGGCTCCCTCCTCTGGAGTCCTTCTCTGAGCCCTCCAAGGTAAAACAGAAAGGAAGCCAAACTGCCAAGGTGCAGATTTTGCCTCAGGCAACTAAATTTATTAGCAAGAAAAAATTTTTGTCAGCCCAGCACTGACCAACAGAGTACATTGTTAATAAAGGATAACAAATCTGTCACTTAATTCATAAAACATACCTCAAGCAGTTACAACTAAAAATAAAGTTGGATTTTTGTTTAATTTAAAAGCCTCAAAAATAACAAGCAATATGTTTTTTAAAACATGTAGTAGACACAATCATCTATTATACAATATACACTGTACACAGTTGAGCTTGGGTGGGGCAGGTGAGATGAGGGGGAGGGAGGAGGTTCAGGATGGAGGTGTTTTTGAGTTGAAATGCTGTGTCACTTAGAAAAGAGAATTGCTAGAGTGAGAAAAAAATTCATATGCTCATTATTGCCCCCCAAAACCCTAAACTGAAAGCAGGCATGGGGGGAGGTGGTTACGAAGGAAAGGAAGAAGGGAGCAATTAAATAAAACGTCCTTAAAGCACACACAATACACAGTGTTCATCATCTGAAGTAGAGAATATAAGGCAACGTTCTCCATAGAAAAAGGGGTGCAGAGAGGAGTCCACGGGTGTCTGACATTTGAATGGGAAGTTGGAATGTCTGGAGGAGAGCAGTGGCAGGGCTGGGCAGTGGAGTGGAGGTGGCTCCTGAGCCTCTGCAGAGGTGGGTGCCAGTGGGAGGCTGGGTGCCAGGCACCAGGGCATCCCTAGTGGGTGGGTGGGGGCAAGGAGGCACAGGAGTTGGGGGGCATGGCACGGTGGGACTCCGGCAGTGTTGGGAGTGTTGGAGGCAGGGAACAGGGCAGGGGCGGGCTCACTTTGCTCCTCGACGGAGTGAAATGCGTTTTTCCTTTGGAAATAAGGGTTCCCACGCGTCCTGGTTTAGAACGTCTCATTGGGCATGGCCAGTGTCCATGGTCTGGGAAGGACGGGAGCTCATGGTGGGAAGGAAGGGCCAGGGCGGAGCCAAGGGGCTTCAGAAGGAGAGCACAGGGAGCAGAGCCCCTTCCTGTGGGGACACAGCCACAGAACAGCAGCGGGGCTGAGGGCAGCTGTGGGCACCTGTTCACTAGGGGCCCAGGCAGGACAGATGGGGGAGTTGTGTCTTCAGGTCCTCCTGTCTCAGTTGGCCTTATAAGTTCTTCGTGACCAGGTGGGTCTTGTAATGCTTGGTGAGGTGGTCACTTCTCATGAAGCGCTTCTGACACTGGGCACACTCGAAGCGTTTGTCCCCTGGGAAGAGGAGATGTCCATCACATGTGGAGCCCATGTGCAAACACTGTGGTACCCCAAAAAGAAGGGAGTACATGAGGGGCCCCTGGTAAAGCTGTCATGGCCTCGTTGCCATGTTCTGTCCACCTCTTGCTCAGCTATTTTCTCCCTGCCATCTGCTGCTCTACACTCTGATCCGTCCTCACTTCCCTGCCCCATCTGACCTCTCCAGTCTCCTATGTTCTCTTCCTTATCTTTGCCCAAGATGTTCACCCTGAGCCCCTGCAGTCTTCTCTTGTGGGACTGCCTGCCTGCTTTGTTCTGATCTGTGTTCCTTGGGCTTTACACCTGCATCAACACCTTCCCTCACAGGAAGGCCCCACTCCACTCTGACCTCACCAGCCCTGAGCACTTACTGAGCTGAAGCACACTGACCCCGGCCAGGTCAGCCACTGTTCAGTGAAGTGTTTACTCTTCTGCGTCTGTCCCACCACCCTGGCCAGGAGCTTTGGGTCACAAGTCCCCTACCCCAGTCCCAGTACAAGGGGTCTGTCTGCTCACTGGGGCATTCACTATAGCATTCTTCTAATAGTTTTGCATTATTTGCCAGTACATTCAAACATGTGATATCAAACCTACAATATAAAAAACAATATTGCTTAGGAAATAAATGAGTAAAACAGATAAACAATTTAAGGAAAATCATTATGTAAATCACAACAGGAGGACAGCATGGAATAGTGATTAAGAAATGGACCTGGGGGGGGCTGGGGATGTGGCTCAAGTGGTAGCGTGCTCGCCTGGCATGCGTGCGGCCCGGGTTCGATCCTCAGCACCACATACAAAGATGTTGTGTCCGCCGAAAACTAACTAACTAAATAAATATTTAAAAAAAAAAAAAAAAAAGAAATGGACCTGGGGGCTGGGGCTGTCGCTCAGTGGCAGAGCTTGCCTAGCATGTGTTCAATCTTTAGGCATGGGCTCAATCCTCAGCACCACATAAAAAGAAACAAATAAAATAAAGGCATTCTGTCCATTTACAACTATAAAAAGATTTAAAAAAAAAAAAAAAGAAAGAGAGAAAGAAATGGACTTAGGAGCCAGAGAGCCTGGGTTTGAACCTGGCTCTGCCTGTCATTAGCTAGGTGACCTGGCCACCTCTCCAGGCCTCAGTAAGATGGACATTATCAAAGTACCTCCCAGAGTGTCCTTACCGGGATTAACTCAGGTAATCTGTAATGTCTTCTGAGAGTGTAGCACACTAAGTGATTTTATGCAGATGTGGCAGAGGTCACTGGGGTCATGTAATGCAGTGATACCACTCTGGAGGAACACTGCGATTAAGGAATGGCCGCAAAGAATTTCTGGGGTAACCTTTGGACAGTCGGTAGCTCTTGTTCAATGTAGCAGCTCCTGACAGGCCAGGGTACTGGTGCACCGAGGGCAGCAAAACAGGGCTGAAGGGAGGCGGGAGCTGACCTGTGTGGGTGCGAGCGTGCCGCTGGAGCTCGTCACTCCTCGTGAACCTCTTTCCACAGAAGAACCAGTTGCAGACGAATGGCCGCTCCCCGGTGTGCAGGCGCACATGGGCCCGCAGCAAGGATGTCTTCCGGAAAGTCTTGCCGCAGTCTGGGATGTGGCACACGTGCTTCTTCTTGCCTTGCTCTCCAGACCTGAGAATTGGATTAAGGGTGGGGTGGAGGGAATGGGAAGAAGGGAAGGAGGTGGACAGAAATAAGATACAGCAAGGTTGTAGGCACAGAAAAGACAAAAACAAACAAAAAAACAATGCTAAAGGTGTAGCTCAGTGGTAAAATGCCCCTTGGTTCAATACTCAGTACTAGGGGAAAAAAAAAAAGACAAGCTAAGCGTAAGCCCTGGGCACCCCTGGAGGGGCTTGGGGAACAGTGCACATGCCAGGATGCTGGTGTGGCCTAACCCTTGGATTACCTCTTCTCCCCATCCTTGCAGTTGGGACATGTGCAGGCCATGCGGCGCCGCTTCTCCCCAGGCTGGGCCTCTCCGGCCAGGGCCTGCTCCATCTGCAGCTGTATCTGGGTGGGGCTTAGCCCACTGATGGTCAGGTTGTTTCCAGAAACATTCTGCACCGTCAGCTGCTGCTGCCCTGTGGTAAAGAGAAGGCCACAGTTTACAGAGAGGAAGCCTGAAACCTTGAGTCAAAAGTTCTTCCTTTCTGCACAAAAGGATAATCACTGCAGCTGCTACTTTTGAGAACCTGTTAGAGACCTCAGATAAACCTATAACAGATACTATTATCCCCAATTCAGAGAAGAGGAGACCACATTAAATAACATATCAAGGTCACATGGCTAATATAGTAGAACCGGAAGTGAACCCAGGTTCAGAGTCACTGCCCTGAACCATCATACTTCACAGGCAAAATTCATTCAACTCACCTCATCTTTTTATTTTCTTATTATTTTATTTTTATGTGTATTTATTTTTTGCATTACTGTGGATTAAACCCTGTATGTCACACATGCTGAGCAAGAGTTTTACCACTGAGCTACACCCCAGCCTCGCCTTTTTAAAAATTTTTTTGGTACCAGGGTTGAACCCAGGGGTACTTAACCATAAAGCCACATCCAAGCCCTTTATGTGTGTGTGTGTGTGTGTATATATATATGTATTTTTTTTTTTTTTGAGACAGTGCCTCATAAGTTGTTGTTGAGGCTGGTTTTGAACTTGTGATCCTCCTGCCTCAACCTCCTGAGCCGCTGGGATTACTGGTTTGTGCCACCACACCTAGCATTCCAGCCCTTTTAAATTTTGAGACAAGGTCTAAGTTGCCAAGGCTGGTCTCAAACTTGAGATCTTTCTACCTCAGCTTAGAGTAGCTAGAACTGCAGGCATATGCCACTGTACCAAACTCAAAATGCACTTTAAGATGTTGCCTACAGGGGTTGGGGTTGTGGCTCAGTGGCAGAGCACTTGCCTTGCACATGTGAGGCGCTGGGTTCGATCCTCAGCACCATATAAAAATGAATAAACAAAATAAAGATATTGCATCCATCTATAACTAAAAAATATTAATTAAAAAAAAAAAGATGTTGCCTACATGAACCAGGTGGATGAAGCAGATGCATAATCCTGGCTACTTGGGAGACTGAGGCAGAAGGTTGCGAAGTTTGAGGCCAGCCTCAGCAACTTAGTGAGACCTTGTCTCAAAATTTAAAATAAAGTGGTAAAGCTCCACTGGGTTCAATCCCATGTGCAACCAAAAAAAAAAAGTTAAAGACATTGCCTACATGATTCCAGTTACAAAGGGTCTTACCTGGCACTGTCTTAGAGCATTCTTCCTGTTTCCTCTACCTTAGGCCCTTGTTGATTATCCACTCTACTTTTAGGATAAAAGTCTCTAGGGACTTTTGTTAGTAAGAGAAGATAGTTTTATGGGCTCTGGGAAAAATTAAGTCCTCTAGGATGCCTTGTCCTCTCTTTTGGGGCCCCCAAATGGGAAAACCAAATGCATAAAGTACTGTAAATTCAATAAGGATGAAGAGGTGAGCCAGGAATGGTGGTACACACCTGTAATCCCAGCTATATGGAAGGCCGAGGCAGGAGGATCACAAGGTTGAGGACAACTGGCCTAATTTAATTTAGACCCTGTCTCAAACATTTAAAAGAATAATTAAAAGCTGGGGATATAGCTTAGTGGTAGAGTGCCCCTGGGTTCAATACTTAGCACCCCAACAAAAGATGAAGAGAGGAGATTCAGAGTTCCTGCTACCTTCAAGTTTTCCCTTCAACCAGATATAGGATGCAAAGAAGCACTTTTGCTAGGTAGCTTCAATTCTTCCTGTGATTATTTCTGAGGCCACTTTCTCAGCATACATACCACCAGTGACCTAAAGTACAGCACAAGCTTTCTCACCATCCAGGGTTCCTTCCTCACCCTCAATCTCAATGCCAGCCTTTCTAAGAAGCTTTTGACTTCCTTTACTCAGAATCTCCCCTGAACATATGTCCTCAGTTTGTATCAAATTAATCTGGGTACCCCAGGAAATTTTCCATCAGATTCAAGGTCTAATGGAGACTATGTGATTTACTCTATCTCACAGCTCTACTCTAAGAACCAATTGGGAAGATACACATGGACGTGCTCTTAGGCTGCAGAGGACCAGGCAAAGAATGGGCAGTATCCTCACTGCTGCTACTGGGAATCCCCAGGCTGGCTTCATTCCCACGTGCTGGGCACACAGGCCTTGTTGCCAACCACGTGGCTGAAGCCTGTTTCCTCACCGCCAGTGTTGGTGATGGTGACAGGTACACCCTGGACCTGGACTCCATTGATGTTGATGGTCTGCATGGCCTGGGCCGCCGCAGCCAGCTGTGCAGCATTCAGGCTGATGATGCTCCCAGCGGGTGCAATCTTTGGCAAGGGGCGCTCTTTTCGGAGAATTGCAGCTGAGTGCTTTTTGCTGGTCCCACTCAGATGGGGAGCCCGGGGTGCAGGGCTGCTACACGTGGTGGTTGAGGTGGTTGCAGCTGTAGCTGGGGGGCTGTCCTGGACAAGGACTGTCTGTACTTCACCAGAAGGTGTGCGGATGTAGACCTGGGGGGCCAGAGAGAAAAAGTAAGTGCTCTGGGAAAGAGGGCTCCTGCACCTTCATATCTCCTTGCCCAATTAAGAACAGGCAGTGCCTCTCTGTCAGCCCAAGTCTCTCGTCCAACAGCCCAAATCTACATTTATACACTGTTGATGTTCAACAAGGGGCTCCTTGTACTAAGCTAGCAAGGCTGGCTATTGATTTGAAACCAAACTTTTAATTTACTGTGTTAACACAGAAAAATGTCAATGCCAAATCTCAGAGTTGGAGAATTAGAAGATAGTGACCCCAAGACAAAGAAAAACAGATTCATGTTAGTCCTCAAGAGACATGTAAATAAGAAATAATCTTTCTCCAATCCAGACTGGCAAAGATAAAAAAAAGTGTGTGTGTGTGTATATATATATATATACATATATATATATATTTAGACATTATCTATGTCTGTAGACATGTCTATTGATGTGTACTTCCTAGCTGTGTCCACTAAGCAACACCTTTGTAGCAATAAGCTCACGCCAGCACCTAAGCCCCAGCTTCTAAATCAATGCTCCACTAAAGGGAATGGGAGAAGCTGCCATTGTAGCTCAGTGGTAGAGCGCCTGCCTAGCATGTGTGAGGCACTGGGTTTGATCCTCAGTAGCACATAAAAAATAAAGGTATTGTGTTCATCTACAACTGAAAAAAAAAAAAAAATCTTTTTTTTTTTTTTTTTTTTAATTTAAAGGGAATGAGAACTCCCCAGAGAAAGAGTTAATTCCAGGTTGGGGCAGGGAAGGTACAAGAAGAGATCAGGATGCTTGTGCTGGGAAGTTAGGGAAATGCCCACAGCATGGTGAGGATAGGTGAAAAGCCAGCACGAGGGGCCCCACTGATCAAATCTGGGACAATTTAAACATTGAAATAGTTATATTAATGTATTATAACCCATTGAATAAAACAGGAATCCATGAGTCCATACTGAAAAACATATAAATGGGATGGAGAATGAGAGAATTAAAAAACTGCTGTCACATCCTCCGAGAAGAGGAACCTGGACTCCTAAGAGAAATGGTTGATTCTTAGGCTGGAGCTGGGAAGATCAAGGAATGAAGTCCTGATGTTCCAGTGTGGATGAACCTGGAGATTATGCTAAGTGAAAGAAACCAGTCACAAAAGACCTTCTGTTGTAGAGTCCATTCATGTGAAATGTCCAGAATAGGCAATGCACAGGCAGGAAATAGACTAGTGGATGTCAGAGGCTGAGGGGAGGGGAAATGGTAAGTGATGAAGGCTGCACAACTCTGTAAATATACTAAAGACCATGGAACTCGACACTTTGAGAGGGTGATTTTTATGGTGTGTGAATACCTCAAAAAAGCTGAATTTAAAAAAAAGGATGAGAACATGTCAAAAGGATACAGGATTCAGCATGAAAGAGTTCCCAATGACCAAAACTGGAACAATTTTAAGCAAAAAAAAGTAGTATTGGCTTATAACCCAAAGTATAAAATATACATGAGTCCATAGTGATATAAATAAATGATTGAATAAGTAAATAAATGGGGAAAAGAGACAAATTCAGACTTAGCAACTGATTTCCATAGAACAAAGGGAAAAGTAACAACTTGCAAAGACAGCTGGCGAACACCACCTTTGGCAGCTTCACCAAGGGACAAGGGCTAACATCACAGGGGGTGTCCTGTACCCCTGTTGTAACGTGCTGAAAAGGGTACTTTGCCTCTGGTATTCATTACAAAACCCCAGAACTTCAGTCTAATAATCATAAAAACAGACAAATTTAGACAGGGGACTTTCTACAGGGTACTTGGCCAGTGCCCCTGTCAAGATCATGAAAAACAAAGACAGAAACAATCACTGACAGAGGGCCTGGGGAGTTGGAGGCCAGCCTGGGAAACTTGGTGAGACCCTGTCTCAAAATGAAAATAACATAAAGGGCTGGGGATGTAGCTCAGTAGACAGTGCCCCTGGGTTCAGGACCTCGTGCCAAAAGTAATAATGATGACAAAGATGTTGTTATAGCTAAAGTATATGATTATTTCTTCAGGAAGATCTGATTTAAGTCCTGCCTCCAACAGTCTGAAGATGAAGAAAAGGTGACTGAGACTGCCGAGGATGTGCATACCACACCTGAGCAGGTATTGCTTCAGCTCTTCGCTTTTATTTATTTATTTTTTGCAGTATTAGGAATTAAACCCAGGAGTGCTCTGTCACTGAGCTATATCATGAGTCTTTTTATCTTTTGAGACAGGGTCTCACCAGATTGCCTAGACTGGCCTCAAACTTATGATCTTCCTGTCTCAGCCTCCCAAGTATCTGTGATTACAGGTGTGCATCCAGCAGTTTTTTACCTTTAAAGTAGTTCTGATAATAGGATCTTAGATATTGTGAAATAAACAATTTGTAAAAAGTCACCTGGCAATATATAATACACACCAGAAGGAAGTAGAAATTCTAAGGAAGGCCTCAGATTTCCTCTTGTATGACTTCCATGTCCCCAGCTCAAATTCAAAGGCATTTCTTCTCTATCCAGGAGATCACACTGTTACTAATGTGGTCCTCTCTCTACAGCCATCTTTATTTTATTTTTTTGGTACCAGGGATCGAGACCAGGGGTGCTTAACTACTGAATCACACCCTCAGCACCACCACCCTTTTTTGAGACAGGGTCTCGCTAAGTCACTTAGAGCCTCACTAAGTTGCTGAGGCTGGCTTTGAATTTGCAATCCTCTTGCCTCAGCCTCCCAAGCTGCTGAGATTACAGGTGTGTGCCACTGTGACCAGCTCTACAGGTATCTGGATTACAAATTCCTCAATGGCAGGAACTAATTTTCTATATTAAAAAAAAAAAACAACAACCCATCATCAATTTTAATGGTAGCATCTACTACACAGAGTCAAGGTGGAGAATGGAAAAGTGTGGGGTTTAAAGTTAGAAATCTGAGTTGAGGACAGGCATGGTGATGCATGCCCATACTCAGCTATTTGGGAGGCTGACAGGAAGACTGCCAAGTTCAAAGACAACTTCACAGAGTTGAGATCCTGTCTCAAAATAAAAAATAAAAATATCTAGGCCCAGGTGCGTGGTGCTTGCCTGTAATCCCAGCACCTTAGGAGGCTGAGGCAGAAGGATCGAAAGTTCAAAGCCAACTTCAGCAACTTAGTGAGGCCCTAAGCAACTCAGTGAGACCCTTTTTCTAAATAAAATATTAAAAAAGGTCTAGGGATGTAGCTCAGTGGTAGAGCACTCCTACGTTCAATCCCCAGTACTACAAAAATGAAAAGGAGAAAGAGGAACAGAAAAGATCAGAAAATTCTGATTTGAATCCTGGTGCTTGTCACACCCCAAGAAATTTTGGGTACTTTCTAACATCTCTGAGTTCCCAGTTCTCCATCTGCAACATGGGCACAATCTCTGGAAGCATGCACAAAGAGTAAAATTTGCCTCACAGAGCCAAAGAGATTTGGAATAATTGAGCACTTTTTTTTTTTTCTTGGTAGTCTTGGGGTTTAAACCCAGGGGTCCTCGACCACTGAGCCACTGAGAGAGGGTCTTGCTAAGCTGCTTGGGGCCTCAGTAAGTTGCTGAGGCTGGCATGTGCACCGATATGCCCAGCCCTTTTTTATTTTGAGACAAAATCTCATTCAGTTGTTGAGGCTAGCCTCCAACTTTTCATTCTCCTGCCTCAGCCCCCAAGTAGCTAGAATTGTAGGAGAGTGCCTCCACGCCCAGCTTAGACAACCATAAGAAATGTAAAAGAAGAAAACATGCTTGTTGAATTCAAAATCCTAGATGAATTTAACCTAAATGTTCCTGCTGTAAAACTAGACTGCTCCTATTATTATTATTAATTATTATTTATAATTAACAGTGATTAGCATTGTTACTTTACATCAGATTCTATGGTTCTGACTAGAAATTTTCATTTTTGCTGTCCTATGTAATTCTATAATAAGAAGTCAGCTTTATTATTAAAAGATATACATTTGTCTCCTACCCATCCCCAAAAATATTCCCCATAAAGAAAAAGGATCAGGGGGCTGGGGTTGTGGCTCAAGTGGTAGAGCGCTCGCCTAGCACCTGTGAGGCACTAGGATTGATCCTCAGCACCACAAACAAATATAAAGATATTAAAAAAAAAAAAAAAAAAGGATCAAAATAAAACTTCATTTCATCTGCTTTCTACAGATAAGCAGTACTTGGTCCAAGACCTGAAGAGAGCTTGTTTGTCATACAGAAATGGCCACTTCCTGCCCACCCAAATGCTATTGATTCCAACACCCAGATCAAATCAGGAGATGACCTACCTCTCCTTCAAAAGCAAGCTGAGGGGTAATCAGAGGAGAAAAGGGAGGCAGGGCAGAGGGTGTATGGTACCTGAGTAGGTGTTGACTCAGCCGTCTGGATCTGAAAGTTCTGGGAGGGCTTCTGGGGGACGGTGGGGAGGGTGGCAGATGCAGCCTGCACTACCCGCAGAGCCTGCTGGGGGATCTGCACCACCTGCTGTTGCTCGGCCTTGGGCGGCACCACCTGGACCTGCTGGACCACAGCTGGCTGGCCACCCCCAGGGCTCTGAACAATCAGCAGGTTGTTTCCTGCCTGGATGATGTTGTCTGCAGTGGTCTCAATCAGTACCGTCTCCACCTGCTCAGCCATAGCCACAGATGGCTGGGAAGCAGGAAGGCTCTTCTTCCTGGCTTTCTTGTTAGTCTTAGACAGAGGGGTGGGAGGGCTTTCAGTGAGGAGCTGAGTGGCTGCCCCAGTGTCACTGGCGTTCATAAGGTTGTTGACGGGCAGGGTGAGCGTCACGTTGCCACCTCCACCTGTCAGCTTTACCACGTTGGCCCCACTCTGCACAGGGGTGGTGGTTGCACTTGACTTCTGGACAGGGGCTGGCTTGATGGGGACAGGCTTGTGACTGGACGGCGAAGGGGTGATGATGGCCTGGTTGGTGCCTGGGATGATCTGGATCTGGTTGGTGAGATTGGGCTGCACCTGGATGGTCTGGGAACTGCTTGCCTGAATCTGAGGGACCGCCTGGTACTGGATATTGGCATTTGACCGGTTCCCTTTGTTGATCATGGTGGGGTTCTGGATAGCGAATACCAGCTGCCCTCCAGGATAGGAGGTGCTCAGTTGTGACCCCTGAATCTGAAGTATATTTCCTTTGGAGGATAAGATGCCAAAGCTATTTTTGCCAGGACTCAGAGGAAGTGGGGCAGGTTTGATAGGGACCAGTTTCCGTGGTGTTGGCTGGGGGGGAGCAGGAGGTGTCACAGCAGCTTCAACAGCTGGAGGGCCAATTTTGCTACATGTTGCAGCAAGCAGGGCCAAAGGAGATGGCTGGGAGTCCTGCAAAAACCAGCAGAGGAAAGGAGTGAGACAAGAAGGCCTGGGGCTGGCTGCCCATCAGCCCTTCATGATCCTCTAAGGTGGCAGCCCTCTGTGTGCTCTTCCCTGCCTGTGTCACCAGTATCCCTTTGGTTTTTCTGCCAACCAAGTAAGGAAAGGCAGGACAGTACTTTCTCAGGAATTCCCTAGAAGCAGCCCCTGGGTGGGATGAACTAGCATTGTGGGCTAGCCTCACATTTACCAGGATAATGATGCTCTTTAGTCCCAGAAGGAGTTCTACCACACCATCATAGGGAAGGAGAAATCCCTGAAATCCCTGACTGTTCCACTGACAAAGGAAGGAAGGGGAAAAGGACAGGCAGCAAAGGGACAAACACACTGGTATTTTCTAGTGCTTCCTACATGCAATGCCATGGACTAGGGAAGGCTGCTCTCTTAAAACTTCAATAAAAGGGCCTCTGTTTCCATCTATGGCAATGGTATCTAGGGAAAGAATACTTGAGTTTAATCCTGGCCTTTCCCCCTGATCCAACTGTGGCACCTTAGGTAAGTGGCATGACTTTTAGTTTAGAAAGTGTAGATAAGTGAACCTTCCTGGGTCTCATGTCTTAGTGTTGAAAGTGACAATGAAAAGGGTTTTGAGTGTGGTTAACATTGGCTTCAATGAGCCCATACAAGCAGCTGAGAACCCCGCCCTCAGAGCCCACTCGCCTGGGTGGTGGCGGCAGCAGGCTGCAGGTAGTCACTGGGACTGACGGCAGCAGTGGCAGCCATACTCATCTGTGGATCTGCTGGAAGAAAGAGACAAAGTAAGACACAAGACATCTTAGGAAAAGGACCCAAGCCCCCCTGCCTCAGATTTTCTTTTTGCCTCTATTCATTCTTGCTTCTCCAAGAGGAGTTAACAGCCTCTCTCCACATGTCCCTGCCACAGGATGACAGCCCCACACCTTTTAGCAGATAATCTCTGCTCAGGCTCAGCTATGCAAGCCTGTGAGGAGCCAGGCCTGCCTCCAGTGCACTGGCCCCTTAACATGAAGACTCTAGACGGTAACTAGTCTGGGCACACCCCATCCCCAACTGGCTCTGCCAAGCTACACAGGAACCCTTTATAGTGGGCAGAGGAGCCCCAGCCAATCAATCTTCTGGCCCTAACTCAAGCTTCCTTCTCACTCCTGCTATAGGCAGACGCCAAACCAGCCCCACGGGTGGATGGATGGGGTACAAGAAGGACACACCTATTTCATTCCAAATTCATGGGTGCTGTATTCTCGGCCTTTACCACAAAGGCATGAGGGTTCTAGGAATATCACATATGGTTAATTTCTTTAAATAAATTTACATTTTTACACTGGACAGTAGGTATTGGCTCCAAGAACAGGTAGAGCTAATAACAATATACAGAGAAGAATGTAAATAGAGTAAATTCTATTTTTGTCTAAATGTGTGTGTATATATGCATATATATAAAATGTTATAAGTTGTTATTGCTTGGTAGAATTTTACTTAACAAAGAATTTTTCTCCTTGTTCTATATTTCCCTATTTTCTCACAGTGATTAGACAACTGGTCTTCTGTATCCACAGATTCAATCAACCACAGATCAAAACGTTAGGAAAAAAATACTGTATCTATACTGAATATGTGTAGACATTTTCTTGTCATTATTCCCCAAATAATACAGTGTAACAATTATGTGGTTTTAGGTATTACAAGTAATCAAGAGATGATTTAAAGTATACAGGAGGATGTGTGTATGCTACATGAAAACACTCTGCCATTTTATGTAAGGGACTTGAGTATCTGTGGATTTTCGTATCTGCAGAAGGTCCCGGAGCCAAATGCCCTGTGAATACTCAGGGACAACTATACCCTATTGTTCTTTTTTTAAAATAAAAGAAAATAAAGAAGGTTGAGGAAATTATGAAAGGAGATTCTACCCTGCATTTAGTCTAATTTAAAAGGAAAACAAGATGAAAAAAATGTAAGACATGAGGAGTTTGAGGGAGAGAATCTAGTTCATCTTGAGTTCATAAATCACTAAGGAAAAGAACACTGGGCAGGAAGTCAGGCTTCTATCCTAGAACTTTGGAAAGCTGATGCCAGGAAAAACAGATGAGGAATATTACTTGGGAGAGTTGAAAAGACAAAAAGGCTCAGAGCTTGAGCCCCTGGTGGGCATCTAGCAAGAAAAGGACAAAGGCTGGAGAGAGCAGAGCCATTCCCTCTGGGCGGGCCTCTCCAGCTTCTCTCTTTGGGGAAAGGATTCTTTTTTTTCCTTTTCTTTGATACCAGGGATTGAACTCAGGGGCACTCGACCACTGAGCTACATCCCCAGCCCTTTTTTGTATTTTATTTAGAGACGGGTCTCACTAAGTTGCTTAATGCCTTGGTTTTGCTGAGGATGGCTTTGAACTAGTGATCCTCCTTCCTCAGCCTCCTGAGCCACTGGGATTACAGGTGTATGCCACCATTCCCCGATGGGGAAAGGATTCTTAGAGAAAGGTAAAGGAAGGGTAAGCCCAGGATGGGTGATAGGCTGGTAGGAGGCTCCCCAGTGACTTTAATGGTCGCCAGGTCCCAAGCCACTGCAGGGCAGGGTGGTTCTGCAGGTCCTGCTCACTGTACCAGGAGCCCTCCTGGTGAGAATGTACACAAGAATGCACATGTAGATCCTGAAACATCCCAGACAGATCTTTGGCATATTTCTAGAATTACTGAATTCTAGAGTTGAATTATTGAATGATCGAATAGCACTGCAGTTACTGAGGGAAGGAGGAATGACCACAGGTACAGGCATGGAGTTGCAAAAAACAAGACATGCTGAACACATCTCAGTTTCTTTTCATAGGGTTTTGGACAGACACATCAGGAAAACATAAACACCTTGCATCTGAATTCAACAGGCATCAACAGAAATCTTCATAATACTCTTGTGATCAAGAAGGGAAAAACTGACATGCCTCTAATCCCAGCAGCTCGGGAGGTAGAGGCAGGAGGATCATGAGTTCAAAAGCCAGTCTCAGCAACTTAGCAGGGCCCTAAGCAACTTAAAAAAGAACAGGGAAAAAATGTACTAGGTACAGTGCCCCACTCCTATAATCGCAGCTACTCCAGAGGCTGAGGCAAGAGGATTCCAAATTTGAAGCCAGCCTCAGAAATTTAGCAACACCTTGTCTCAAAAAAATTTTAAAAAGGGCTAGGGATGGGCGCTTGCCTAGCATGTGTGAGGCACTGGGTTTTATCCTCAGCACCACATAAAAATAAGCAAATAAAATAAAGGCATTCTGTCCATCTACAACTACAAAAAAAAATTTTTTTTTTTAAATGCTGGGGATGTAGCTCAAGTAGTAAAGTGCCCTTGGGTTCAATATCCAGTACAAAAACAAACAAACAAAAACCAACCAGGGGAATAATTCAGGCAGGATGATAATCTAGTCTGGGGGCTAAAATGAGCATGCTTCTACCTAAGTGCTGAAGGTTGGCTGCTACATGTCGACTGGGTATGGAACCAAGGCCTTATACATGCTAGGGGTATCTCAAACTGGGGTGGGTCCCAGGAACCAACAGGCTCCATGGGCCTCTCCTCAAAGGACTCTGTTTATTTTTTGGTACTGGGGATTGAACTCAGAGGTGCTTTACCACTGAACCACATCCTCAGCCCATTTTATATTTTATTTGGAGACAGGGTCTCACTTAATTGCTAAGCCCTTGCTAAATTGCTGAGACTGGGGCTGGGGCTGGGGCTCAGCAGTAAGCACACTTGCCTGGCATGTGTGAAGCACTGGGTTCGATTCTTAACACCACATATAAATAAATAAAATAAAGGTCTATCAAAAACTAAAATAAATAAATAAATAGAAATAAATTTTAAAAAATAAATTGCTGAGATTGGCCTTAAATTTGTATACTCCTTCCTCAGCCTCCCAGGTGGCTTCCACAACCATGCCTGGTATATTGATCCACTATATGTCATGCCTTATGCCAAATGCTGTCATGTAAATTATCAGAGCATCACAGAAATCCTATGAGGATGGCAT